GAACATTGGTGCGGCCAGTCTTAATGGCTGTCTGTAACTCCCTTTATTGGACACTTGATGGTGATGCTGTAGAATTAAATCTCAGTGCTTTATAAACATGATAAAAACATTACATTCTTATAATAAAACTGCAGCTAGACTGTGAATCACATTTTGTTAGAAAATATTGAAAAACCTAGGTAGCTTTAGCATACTGTATATATGCTCTTAAGACACATCGATTAGAGGTTATCGTCTGCTTACAGTGTATGTTTTCTGATTTTTCCATGAGAAAAAGGCAAAAGAAAGCATATTTAGTCCTGTAACTGTGTTGTGCTGCATGTAACCGGAGTCAGAGATGTTTTCTGAGAACATAAATAGAGACAGTTTCTTTTAACAGTCAATGTGAAGTAGCTTAAAGATACTGATTCAAAAAGAAGGTTACGAAAAATAGAGAACACCTGGAAATACTGGAAAAAGACTGAGCAGGTTAGTCAATAATTAGAATGAATAATCATAACTCCCGAATTATAAAGATATGCCAAGAATAAACCCAAGCAGTTGGTAGAGGGACCTGAGATCATTTGTTCTCTGGCACAGCTATGGCAAAAAGAACAATAAGTCAAGCACACTGGGATAAACTAATATTTATTAAAATGGCAGTGACTCACACTAAACAACGCACAACATAACCTACGAGTCACTCTATTTACAAACAAGGAGTCTCAGAGGCCTACATCCAGACCACGCAAAAAAACCCCAGACTGTTACCAAGTATTCAAAGATCCTTTATAACACCTACACAGGTCAACGGGAGAGATAAACCTGTCCAGTAAACTAGACAGCACATGATGTACAGTTAAATATCTCTCTCTAAATCTGAATGATTCAAAGTCAATGGGTGTTACGACCTTAAAAATATGTCTAGGGTTTGACCAAAAGCCACAACATAAAAAGAACACTCGAGAGATCAGCTTCCCCTGGGAAAACAAATCAATTTTATTATCATCGCAAAACCAGGGAAATCGGGAGGGGAAAGACAAAAAAAGAATAAAAACCTAAGAAAAAGCTAACGGACTATAAAAGAAAAATAAACCAACTAGACAGACTAGAACCAGGAAAAAAAGGTGGTTGTGCCCAAACAATAAGGCCATACCAAAATAAAAAAGGTGCATTCTACACTAACCAAACCGAAAACACACAGAAATATCCAACACGTCTTTCCCCAGCCCAAAAACCACACACCGCTCAACTATCTCCGTTCCCCCTGTCCAATCTCTCAGCACCCCCTGTTTGCAGTCCTGTCTTCCCCTTTTAAATGCTCCCACCTCCTCTACTTAATTAATTGGCAAAACCTGGGAAAAGAGGAGAAAGCTATTAAAAAATAAAAATAACACTCTGACCAAGGACCGTAACAATGTGTCTCTCCATCTACATGCCTTTTTATCCCTCTGTTCCTCAGCCTTTAATCGCCCTTAATTATTTGCAGAGAACTTAATTAACCAAGGTAAGCCAGACGATTCCTTTGATCAATGTGACAAAGACCCGATACAACTCAGTAAACACCACAGTCCCTTTCTTGCTCTGAAGCTCCCTAGAACTGTAAATGTTGACACTGGCCAGGTTCCAGTTCTATTGGGCATCTTTAGCCAGCTCAGTGTAAAAAAGGGGTAAGACAGGGCTATTATTCATCTTGAAAGATAAACTGGGAAGCACAAACGACCTTTATCGAACAGTTCAATGCAGACCAGTCCCCAGGTGTACTGTATGTTCTGTACGTTTATTTCTACTGCTGTGTCGAAAATCAACAGACAAAAAAAAGTCTAAACAATAACAATATTTTTACACAAAGTATGTACAGGCACTGAAAAACAATTTCCTGTTTCACGTTTAATTTGGAAGGGTGCTCTCCAAAGAAAACCTGTATTGAAAATGTTTTGTGGGAAAAGGACTGTGTTCTGGAGAAGCAGAAAGTACTGCTTTACTCTGTACTGTACAGTATCAACTCGAGTCAATTAAATGCTGTCGTGTTAAACGGGCAAAATGAATGTGAACAGTATTGCAATTGAATGTTTGCTCTCGGCACAGCCGTGTCAGTGACATTAAGGGAAGTCAGGGCAGTGACAAGACATAACCCAGACTTTCAGTGTTGAGCTTCAGCTGTGATAACACAGGGACATGTGCTGTGGGAGTTTTCACTGCTGTTGCATTACTTGTCTTAATACACCACTATCCCAATAGAAGTCATTACTGAAAAGAAACCGCAAAGCCAAAGGAAAGGAAATGACCAAGCGAAAAAACAGAGTGTTGCGCCAGATTGCTCTAGCTTCCTTTACTGTTGGGTGCAAAGGACAGAGAGTGACAGAACTGGTCTTCCTTGTAGTGGACATGTCCTGGCACTAAGCTGTTATGAAGCTGTTATCAGAAGCTATGGTGTGTTTAGTTTACCATCTTGACCAGTTGGAAGTTAAAGAAAACGGATCCAACAGAACACAACCGGATAAGCAGTAAGAAAAAAAAAACGAGATCCACACTCATGCAAGAGACACAAATACAACTCGAGCCGAGAAAGTCAGATGAAAAAGAAAGTGGTCCGTGCCATATGCTGTATGGCTTGATGTAACGAAATCCTGTTCCCCTGTATTCATTTATAAATGCCCCAACTCAAATTCAATCAGCTTTGAGCCGTGAAATCCGAACCAAAGGACGTCAGTGGAAAGTACATGGACGCACGTTTTAAAAACCCAGACCAGGTGGCATGCCTTTTACACAAATATGTATATGGCAATGGCCAAGCTGCTGAAGCAGATACCCTTCTGTCAAGACGCAGCTCGATTAGGTCAATTAGCTATTAACAGCCACATGGGCTAGACAGGCCACATGTCATCGTCCCATAGATAACTGTTCTTAGGATCTTAAGGAATTGATTTAATGCAAAAGTCTGGAATCAATGTTTCACTGTATTCATGTAGTCAGTTTATGAATACAGTTTATACTGTATAATGGTTGGGTTTAAAAAGCTGTTATACTTGAACTAAAGCAACCACACACCACAAACAGAATAGACATTTCAGCCACTGTGCGCTTTCATTTTAAACTCCCTCTTGTGAACATGTGGGACACGATGAGTTTTCCAGGAGCATTTTTAATAAGAGCTTTGAAACAGCTCTTCTATACAGTATGTATATACTTACAGTATATGTAGGTTACATAGTCTTGTTGGTTGCAATGTTAGAGATTTCTTAAACAAAAGACAGGCATTTTTTTCTGTGATTAGTTTTGAGTAAGGTGCCATTTCCTGACGGCTTCAGAAGAATGTTGTGTTATTTCACACTTTTGTGAAATGGAACGATTACAGGTGAACAGACTTGAACTGTTTTTCTCAGCAATGTCTGGTGCAATGAATTTCGAGTTTCCTGTTCACTGTTCATTATGCACTCTGAAAATATCCACTTATTAAGATGTGATGTTATCCCAAGTGTGTCTTTCAGAAATAAAAATATTGCAAAAATATTGAACCCTATGCACAGCTCTCAGTTTGTGGCTTTCAGGTTTGCAGTCAAGACACTTTGAAGTTTCGATTAGTATTTGTTACGTACATTTGCCATGATTGCATACATATTCAGACATTCTGCTGTGGCTGAAGTGGGACATACAGTATATACTGCAGATTTTCTTATATACTGTTTCCTTTCCTAATAGAAAATGT